AACGATATAATGTTAGGACACTATCATTGTATTACCTACTTATTATATTTATACTGTAATTGTGTATTATTTACATAATATATTTCGGGGAATGAGATTAAAATTTAAATTACTATACTGAACATCCTAAAGTAAAATACATATTAATGTAAAACTTATATGTATAATGAATTTATTGACTTTTTCAAGCTTCGGTAAAAGTTTAAGGATAGATTGATCGGTTATTGTATAGGTTTTTTTCATTTTTGCAATATTCTAATACATTTTAGAAAACACTTGACACGCCAGGATGATAAGTATTTTTCTGATCTATACAATTAATTCTTTGCTAAAAAAAACAGCCAATCCGTTCCACAGTGTCCTCAATCACGGCGTGAAAATAAGACGAACCGACAAATATACTTATTATAATATTAGTAAATGCTTATTAAATTCTTGAGTTAAAAAAATGTCTAATACTTAATGAATCATTAATTTAAAAAGAATGATTGCCACGAAATCAAAAGTTTACGTGTACCCATTGAGTTACAGGGCTTCCTTTTTATGTAATTCAACATAAAACGTCGCTCTAAGATTTATGCCTTAGAAGTAATTTCTCAGGAGTAATACTTTTTATTACACGCTCGTTAACGCGACGGGGCGCTGTTTACAAGGTGCATAATAAGAGAAATGATTTAATATGCATTCCTATCATAAAAATTTTATGTATGTACGTGAATTTGTTTGTTGTAGGCGATAACGGCTTGTAGTTATTATGTATAACATACCCGTCTATTTTAGTTTTACAGTTATCAATCAATTTTATAGACGTCCTACAATTAATACCAATTATAACTTTAGATATAAAACAAGTTTGAACAAAATGTGTAATTATAAAATAAATGGAAAACAACAAGAACAAATCGAATAACACAAAAATAAATAAATAATTTATTATCATCAAAACAATTGAGCGCATGTCAATAAAAAATAAAAATCAATCGGAAAGGTGTAATTGAACAGCTGTTTCTATCTATAACTAACAGTTTATTGGACATTCTACCTAAACATAATTTTTGTTACGTACCTCTTTAGCAGTATTTGGTAGGTTAATCCTTGATATTATGCCAAGGTTTAGGCTAATAACGTTTTAAATATTGTAGTAAGTAGAAATTACCTCTATTTGTTTTAGTAAAAACTAGCGTCTCACCCTCGCCTTATTTGGGTTCGCCTCTAGGAGTACAAAAACAAACCTAACCTCACGGGAACCCACCAACCCAAGGGAAAAAGTAGCCTATGTGTTACTCCAGGCTATAATCTTTCTCTGTGCAAAATTTCATCCAGATCAGAGATAAAGATCATTTCAAAGATAAAGAGTAACAAACATTCATACTCACAAACTTTCCCATTTATAATCAATAATAATTATTAAATTATGTTGTATTATGAAAGCGCAGTGTAGCATTACACAAAATAACGAATTACATTATAACACTAACTTCAACTAACTTTTTCTTAAGTAGTACAAAACTTTCGTTGCCTTGTGACAATCGTTGAACTCCAGATGATTATTATAAAGTATATATACACTGTGAGAGCAGTCTAATAGATACAAGTGGCATGATGTAATCGACAATGAAGTAATCGACTCGTTTGCTATACGGTATACAACACTCGTAATTATAATGTATGAATGTTAATGATACAAACAAATACGACATGAAAACAATCCGTCAAAAGGAACTATAATAAATAGCTGTAATAATTCCTTAAATAAAGCCATAAATTATATTGTAAATGCGGTTCTTGAATAATATTTTAATGAACAATTTCTAATCTATACATATAATAAAATTCTAACTTGTCGAATCCGTACATTAAATATTTTTTTGTAAAATCTTATTGAAATAGTCATTATCAATACTAATATTATAATGAGGTAAAGTTTGTGAGTTTTTGGCATTGTAGGGGTTAATCTCTGGATCTACAGAACCGATTTAGATGAAATTTGGTAAGAAGACAGTTTGAGACCTCGGGAAGAACATAGGATTTTTACCCCCGAAATCATCCCTTAAGGGGATGAAAATGGGGATGATAGTTTGTATGGGGAAGCAATCTAGTTAGTTTTCTATACAGAATTTTTGTCTGTCTGTTTGGGAACGCATCACGAGAAAACCACTGGACAGATTTTGATAAAATTTAGTATAATGATAGCTGGTTATCCGGGTCAACATATAGGATAATTTTTACTGCGGAAAAATATCTCATCTCTGAGAAATTTACATTAAACTTTAAAACTGGGGACGAACCCGAACTGACCGAGGTGAGTGTACCTACAATTGTTATATCGAGTACCTACGTGGTGTAAAAAATTTTGATTTCATGAAAATACAAGCTTTAGGTAGGTTGTTATTACTTAGACACGCTGTATAATTAGAGGCAAAACGTTGATGTTCATCAATTTCAGCTTTATTTTATAATTAAAGTTACAAAATTGCCTTTGAAATTAAAGGAAAGTCAAACACGAATTGGTTATTAGGTTTCCTTCGTCTTCTCGTCACAGATAAAGAGCTTTAAATATTATTCACATATTAGATAATAACAAAGCTTAATCTATATACGTTTAAATATAATGAAATTTTAAGTCGACCAGAAATAGTAAGTATCGATTTAACAACTTATTGCAATGTATTTATGCAATTATTTATAAATAAGCATTATGCATGCAATAAGAATACGTGATTTTTCGAATAATATGTTAATTATATTGATGCCATATTGCTGATGATTACAATATCGCACCTTTGACATTATCTACTTGGAGTGACTTCTGTCAGTGCTCTTGGAAACAAATAAAAACTAAAAAACTTATTATGATACTGAACTGATGAAAAAAAAAGAAAGGGAATACGTCAAATGTACCTATTCTTGCCTTATCAAAAAAAAAAAATTATAGGCGCACATAATAAAAAAGACACTTCCAATAACGCCATGAAACAAGTTTTAGTTATTAAACTAATGGTTGTTTCGATAAGTAGTAGCAATTATATGTATAGGTATGTTTGTGACTTAAATCACGTAGTATACTTATAATGAATTTTATAACATTTAATATACGAGTAATTTACCCATAGTAATATCGATGTTATTTTCAACTTCAAAGGATAATAAGCCTCGCATGGAACAGACGCTTCAATTATCGTTTCAAAATAACCCAATACAGAAATATTACAGATAAAATGATCTATAACTTCTAAAACGAGCATATATTAAAAATGCATGTAAATTAACAAAACAATTTTTGCAAATTAAAATGTCAAATATTCGCGTTAATGTAAGAAAATATATGTACTTTACATATCATGGATAATTACAATAACACCTACAAGTTACCATATAGGTAAAAGTTGAGCATTTAAACCAGAGGATAGGGCAAGTGCGAATTTCTGTCATAGTTACACTCCAAATACCTTGGTTTCATATTTACGATGATTGGAAAGACTAATCATGCGTCATGATATATCCGCAAGGATGCGATGACGAATGAAAGGCACCGTTGAGAATTTCAACGACTTCCTTAGGTGCTGTTAGGCTTATGAACATATCCTATTTCTAGACATCTATACAATCTAAGACGTAGATGAATAGCGATGTTATATAAATAAGTACTATGTAGACAAAACCGGAAGGTTTAGCACAAGGTGCCAACTGCACCTGTCTTTAAGTTATAGGAACGTGCTGACTATTGAACAAGAATTTCATTTAACATTTGAGAAATAGCAATTAATACAACGAAATAAATTATTCAATAAAAAAGTTTCGTTTCTCAACTCAAAAATACGAACAACATGTCGATATACCTAATATTGTCGATATAATACAAAAATAAGCCTCATCTATACTAATATTATAAAGAGATAAAGTTTGTGAGTTTGCGAGATTGTGAGTTTGTAGTATGTTGTAGAGGGTAATCTCTGGATCTACTAAACCGATTAAGATGAAATTTGGTAAGAAGATAGTTTGAGACCCTGCGAAGGACATAGGATTTTTTATCCCGGAAATCATCCCTTAAGGGGGTGAAAATGGGGATTCAAGTTTGTATTAGGAAGCAAGGTAGGGACGAACGAGGGTGAGTCGCTAGTACGTTATATAATGCTTACTATATACTAACTTATTTACTTTATAACTACGAAGAAGATACGTCTATATGCTCATTTTGATTTCAAGCTAATGCAAAGCCGAAGTTTGATAAATGAACTTTAGGCTAATCAATTCACATTATCCTTAGACTGATCACTTTTATTGTTTATAAAAAATGCTAAGACTTACATTGATGTTTATACTTTACTATACCTATACATTTGTTAATGATTTTACTAATATCTGACGTAATTTAGATATTTTATTTTGCTTCAATTAAACTATTGAGAGCAAGAACAAAGCAAAGATTTTGTAAAGCTTTGTTTTTGAGTGAAATAGGCCTATGCTGGTAGATTCGATATTGACTTATCAATGTGAGCTTTTTCAGTAACAAATATCAAAAACACAATGCGGGCACATGACATATGATAGGAACTACATATAAACACGAAAGATTCGGCTATTTAAACATGCATAAATAGTAATTAATATAAAAATTAAAACCTGCTTTTAATCAAATACCTACCTATATCTTTTCCATAAAAAATAAACTAGAAATTATCGTTCTGTTAATTCATTGGTTCTCACGGTTACGTTAAAAAAGTAATATTTCTTACAAAAAGCTACCATAGGGTACCGAAAATGGATCGTCTGCACCTAATACACAATAAGTCCCCTAAGCTAAAGGGCGACATTCATTGTTACGATGCACAAAAAAGATTTTCGTTTCGCCCGTCGTGGTATTTTTTGCGCTACATCCAAAAAAGCGCCAAATATATCGGGTTCAGTTGCTTACCAATGGCAACCGTTTCATGGCGGGTTACAAGGATCGCCACGAAAGCGGGATTCATGCATGGTGTTAAAGTCTCCGGGATAATCACCTCGGTCGATGTCGTAACATCACTTCGCATCGCCCGGCGCCGCGGTCAGCTCCTCGCTAGGTGAGCACTGCACATCCTCGCACCATCCATCACACACACTATCGATCACACGGTCGGTGTACACTCGGATGTCACTACACTATGGCACTCAACTGTACGTGGGGACGGGACGGGCGGCGTGCGCTATGAACGCCGATGCATTGGCGGCACTCGGCACTTTGCGCCGCGCGCGGTCCCGGGCGCGCAACAGCTGACGGGAGGCGCAGGCCCCCCGCTCGCCCCGCACCTCCCTCTCCCTCCCCGCCCCTCACCCCGCGCTCCCCTCGCACCCGCGCGCGCAGCCGGTGCGTGCCACACCCCCCGCCTCCCCCCGCACCCCACCTCTAATCCATTATTTACGGACGGCCGACCGGTTTCAGGCGCGTTCGCTGTGCTTCACGACGAACGTTCAAATTTAATGCCCTTCCTATGTCCGGCCTCTAATGCGATAAGATTACGAACGTCAAACATTAGAATTTCGGATGACCGAATCTATCTCAAAAATCGTAGTCGACGGTTAATCTTTGTGACCTTCAGTTAGAGCTGTATCCAATATAATAATTTATGTCCAAGACCATTTCGCACATTGTTAACTTCGAGTTAATTTCATGATTGATATGACAGGAGACCAGGTTAACGAACCTAAAACAGGCGTTGCCTGGTACTGAAATTACTAAAAGGCCTATAACTTTAGTGAAATATTCTGTTGTAAACCACAAATACAGACTTGCAGTAAATCAACGACCCAGACCATACGACCATAAAAAGTTACATGTGTAGAATCGAAAGAGACCCTTTGCTTTATTAATTTTAAATAAAATGAGCTTCCTAGCTACTAAATTTACTTACAGCATATCAACTTCTGAATAATTTTAATCGAAAACATTAATCTACAGCAAAAACACTTAAAAGTTCTATGATATCTAGTTCTAAGAAAAACTAATCGTGCCCATGTTTTCAAGAACTTTATTCAAAGAAGTACAATTTATATTGGTTAGTTGTCATAGTGCTACAATTATTTTTATGATAGGCATTATTTAAATAACGATATAAAATGTACATACATATTATGTATTAAGTTAAATAGTATCACTATGTGTAAACTTTTTTTATTCTTATTATAATTAATATTCTACGTGGGGATAATCTCAAGTTAAATCTAAAGAGAATTGTGTCAACATTTTAAACAATTAACGCAAGACCACCACGTTGAACAGCTTCCGTCCGCAAAGAATCGGTGTTTTCGATCTAATGGGTAGGAGATATTAGATACGACAAAAAGTTAAAGGATTTTTGCATTGAAGGAGGTCTTTTACGTTATTCTCAAGTGTTTCATTACAATATTCCAGGTAATATTAGTTTCGAACGGCTGGATCCCGAGATGCCTACTCCAAGATCCACTTTCGGCGGACAGCCATAGAAATCACGTAGTTCGCGGAACTTTGTTACCTGTAGTGCGGCAGCGCAGCGCGCCAAGGTGAATGCTCGGGCCAAGGACGGCCCGCCCGGAGGGGAGGGGACGTGCCGCGACCCTCTCCCCCCTCCCGTGTCCCCAGCCCCTTACCCGAGTAAAAACGCTCGAAACCTTCGAAGACGGTCGTTGCAACCCAGCAAAAAAAGGGCCCGACGGAACAAATAGAACGGTCGAAAAAAAGAGGAATACAAATAACAGGGGTCTCAGATAACAGAACTAGTTGCATACCACTCATGTAGCTTGTCTAAAAAATGAGCGGTTCGCATGTCACCTGCGCCTACGCAGACGGGTCACGCACTAAGACAACGTTCTTATGATGTAATAAATGATTTGTAAAAAATACCTAACGGAAGAGACATAAAACCGGTTTGTAGACATCTATCTTTAAATCATTAGCACAGGAGCATAGCATTAGATTTAAAAAAAACTGTTTCCTTTATTAAAAAAAATTAATTGCCTACATTTTTTTAATTTAATTATTAACTGTAAAATTATATAGGTATACATATGTATATACACAACCGGCAAGAACCACTTCCTAGAATATCAGGACAACTTCCTACCTACCCTGTACCGACCGGTTCTGTGCCTCATTGTGATAACTTCCCCACTAGAAAAACTAGCACTCCGCGATAACTCGGAGATTCCTTTTTAACGACTCGTGAAACGAACGATGACGGAACTTCTCCGTCGATGCTTGATAAAACAATTGTTTTTGCTGTACTATTTTGTTTATAACATATTCAATTGATAACCGCAGCTTAAATTTTACTACAATCGGTCCAAAACAAATTCAGTGATAGTAAAAACAATTGAAACTTCTTAATTACAATTATCTGTCGAGTCTATTCACTATTGCCTGTGTTACATCACCGTTCATAAATAGAATCTCCTGGAGTGGCTAGCGTACAGTGCGTGCAAGGAGGCGTACCATCCTGCCCTTCTCTAACGTAATAAATGAAAAGTATGAGAGAAAGAGACGAGGCAGTGTTACAGTTAAGCAGGAACTCTATTTATATGCAAATATAACCTCGGAGTCGACACCTGTTTGCGTATTCTCGGCACTCACAGTAGTGTCGCTTTGTGGCGACTCTGTCTCCGGTATCTTTAGATAATCGAATATAAAATAACAAATGCGTTTGTTTGTTGTTATTTAATAAGTCTACATATGTTATTAGTCCTTAGTCCTTTATGTTGAAAAATGAATTACTTAAACATAGGGTTAAATTAATTTTATTTAAAATATCTTTTTTCTTCATTTAATTAATTTATTCAACAATCTTTATGGAGCACATTTGTAAGAGAGCAAAAATTTGTTGTATGTATTATTAAATTACCATCTAAATATTTTGGTAGACTAAATTCTTATAAACCTCCTACATGGTTTGTCCTTAACGATATAGGTTATTGGTTTTTGCACGGAATGTCTAACCTCTGTAATATATCAAGGTCGAGCTCACACAAAACATTAGATTAATGAACCATTTTTTATTAATGATTACGCTTAGATATCTGGTAGCGTTATTTCAAAACACATGTATGCAAGAAATGTATCTATATAAAAATTACATGAAAATATAGGTTTGTTTGTATGTACATATATTTTAAATCAGAATTATAAAAAAATAAAAATGTATGTCCAAAAAATTAAAATAAATTTTTTGGGGTCCACCGTTATCACTTAGGAGTTAGGGGTATAAAAATAGTTTACGTCCTATTCTCAGACCTATTGAATTTCATAAGAATCGGTCAAGCCGTTTCGGAGGAGTTTTATTACAAACACTTTGACACGAGAATTTTATATGTTAGTTATATGTTATCTATTGAATGTATTTTGAACACATGATAGCAAATCAGCTCAACTATTTGGATTTTTGCTGTTGAACAAAACTTCAAAGATCACTTGAGCACCACAGATTTCAACGGGATATTTGTTTTATATAGTTTTTATTTAAGAATTAAGTAAGTTTCTTTTCAATCCATGGCGTAATTTTAAAATAAATCTTTAAATTTGCTTATATGAATAAGCGATTAATAAGATTAGCTCGTATTATGTAGTAATTGTATGTCAAATAGAAATCTATACGCTGGCGAAGTCTACGCATAGGTATAAAATTGTAGCGAGGTCAAAGTTGTATATTAAATATTTTTGAAGATCATGTACCTATTAGAAAAATATTTTTTACATTATTTATTATTTTTACACTATTAGACAAGAACCCCATATATACTATAAGAGATCTACCATATATAATACTAGCATTGCACGCGGCTCCGCCCGCGTTCAGATGACCAAAAACTAAATTCTTAGGTTTCACATATTAGTATACTCTTACATTGCAGTTTGTATTTTTTCTCAGATGTGAGACATTTTCCCGCGGTAAAAAAATCTTTATGTTGACCCGTATAACCAGCTATTACCATACCAAATTTCATCAAAACCCCTCCAGTGGTTTTTCTGTGATGCGGTAACAGACGGACAGACGGGCAGACGGACAGACGGACAGACAGACAGACAGAAATTCTAAAAAGTATAAATTTGGCCTCTGTATCGATAATAATGTTTATTTCAATAAGATTTTCAAAAAAGTATCTAATGTACGGATTCGGCTTAGCTACAATTTTATTATAATATGTATAGATAAGTGACCTTATATTTAAAACAAATCACTCGAACGATACAGACGCGGACGGAGCGGCAGACAGTAGCTAGATACAAGAAATAATAAAAATAGCGTATTTTAATTACTTTCCCACAAATTATAAACTATAATTTCATTAATTAAACATCACAACCTCAAAGCGTCGCGTCGGTTTCTGTCGTTTCTGTGTCATTTTTTCTCATTATTGTCATATTTCCTAAAGCCCTCGCGTAAGAAAGAAAGAGAGGAATCGTAGTGAGGTACTCTCGTTCATTTATCATACTCAGACTGGTCGGTCCCTTAGTGTGTTTCTATGTACGTCTGGCCGGTCAGATACCATACGTTTACGTCGTTTATTTTGTTTACACGTGTTACTCCATTCGCAATGTCTGCACTGCTGATTCTGTGTGGTAATCCATTTGTGCTATACCTTCATTAATAATAATGACATTGCTCATATTTCTATTTACGTTTATAGCTATCGTTATAGCTAGTCAGAGAAGAGAAGAAAAAGAAATCTGGCATCAAAATATATAGCAAAATATGGGCCTGATGTTATGCAGGTTGCAGAACAATATATATATGTATGTATCTACTATTTTACTACATGAGCCGCTACACGTAAAAAAGACGTTTATCGTATAAGCAATCATATTGCGTCGCGAGCCGTCAGCTACGGGAGCGACGCCCGCGCCGTCCTTCCATGCCCTTTTGGACGATGCCTTTTGCTAACACACAATTAAACTTTTCATGGAGTAGTTTTTAAATTTATATCATTTGGGTTATTGTTCGATTAACCTTACTTATGTATACTTATATACGAGTAGCATATATACGAAATTAACCTACGATCATCGTAATATAACCTTAGATCGTAACAACTACAAATGTAAATATGACTCACATAAATATGTACTTACCTATTGTATAAATCATTACTTTTGAAATTGTTTTGTCTGGGTTTAAGCTTAGCGTCGTCGAGAGTCGAATGATGTCTAAGTCAGTTCGTAATGCAATAATAAAATTTTGCACTTTGATGTTCCTGACTGGCAGTCAGGCAATGTTCGAGAGGGTGGAAAATCACCCACAGCGTCTTACTTCCGTTACATCTCTGAATTTCAAAATCAAGAGGGGTTTCGCGACGGAAGGCGGACTGCTTGCAAAGCTACTGATGCCTCACCTCTCGCTCGCTCTGACCTATAAACGTTTACTCGATTTTATATCCCATGGAATGTCTCTTTCTACGCTCCTTTTAGAATATTTATGGACTAGGGACTGTATAGCGATTAGAATGTCATTTCTCTGAAATATTGATAGCTTTAGGAGCTTATTTCGCACTTTCCATATGGATCGTTGCATATTTTACAACTTCTATGTACTCAAGATGCCAAGAGCCTAAGTAAGTATAGGAAGCAAAAAAGGTATAACAAGTTATTCTATTAATACTATCAATAATATTATAAGGTTAGTAAATAATATATCATTTATGTATTATTATACAGTCGTGTTTGCCCACCCACTGCTGATATGTTAATAACGCCGTCATGCCTAACTATGGATGTAGTCTAGCAGAGAACGCAACTCAATTTTCACATCTAATTAACATAGCGCTGTTAAAAATAACCAGTAACTCGTATCAGAAAAAGTGAAAACACAAAAAACAGTATTAAAATAAAGAGTACAAAAAATATATGTATGTATATATATATTTTTTTGTACTATAATATAAATAAAAATTAGACATATTGTTTGATAAATGATTTCAAGTAATACAGCATTCATAAACGATAATATCCTATAAAGTCCGAGTGGGTCTAGCAAATTAGGGGCATTCAAGAGAGCAACGGGAGGAAGACGCGCGACGACAGCGCGACGGCGACAATTTACCAATCAATCGGTCACTATGCGAAACCATTACATATCTACGTTTGCTTTTATAGAACTGTTCAATTATGCTAAAGTATCATTATACTTTCAATAGTTATTCGTAGCTAAGTACATAACAATTAAATGAGCCCATTAAATTAAATAATATCGCAGGAATGCATCATAATTCACATATAAATGTTTTCCACTTAACATCATATTTTTTCATGTCTAAAGTAATCTAGCGACAAAATAAGACGCGCGGTCACGCTACAGAGGTTGGATAATAGTACATAACTATACACAATGCACATTGTACAACTGGTCCGCGGACACGCACAGGCGGGACGCGACGCTGCGTCGAGCTGCGTGCGTAGCAACTCTGTTTGACCCGGATTCGAGAATATCTAGCATTTTTACTTGCTAGTTTCGCTAGACCATTTAATGTCATTGTCGTTTGTTTGAATAATTATTTTTCTTATTCTATTTGTGTTTATTTAACATTATATATATAGTGCTTGTAATTTAAAGAAATAATATAAATCTATAAAAACTAATATACAGTATGAAAAGATAAACATTCGCATTTCCAATTACTCCCTTTGCCATGTACAGCAATAATGTATTACATATATTACAATTATACTTCACAGT